ATAATGTTCAGTGTAGTTGTCATATATTCTTTTAAGTTTTCACTTTATATATTTTGAAAACATAACATGTATAAAAAAGTTTAAAAATCTTACAATGAACTCATATACTTTTCACCTAGATTCACCAATTGTTAATAGTGTTTGCTCCATTGATTTCCTGGCTGTTCTCTCCCTCTCTTACCCTGCTTCCCAGACACTCACACACACACTTATTGATATTATATTTATTGTTATTGATGCTGAATTGTTTAGATGAAGTCTCAGGAATTATGGTCCTTTACCTTAAGTACTTGAGTCTGTGTATATTTTCAGAACAAAGAAAAAGTCATTCCTTGGATAATGCAATTATCAAAAGCAAGAAATTTAACAATGAGAAAAAGCAGACATTTAATATACAGTGCATACTCATGTTTTGACAGTTATTCAGGTAATTACACATTTTTGTTTTTACAAAGGGAATTTCACTTTGTCAAACAAGCTGGAGTGCAGTGGTGCAATCTTGGCTCATCGCAATCTTAGCCTCCCAGGTTCAAAGGATTCTCATGCATCAGTCTCCTGAGTAACTTGGATTACAGTTGCCTGCTATGGCACTCAGCTTTTTTTTTTGTATTTTCAGTAGAGACAGGGTTTCACCACGTTGGCCAGGCTGACCTTGAACTCCTGTCCTCAAGTGATCTGCCTGCCTTGGTGTTCCAGACTGCTGGGATTATAGGCATGAGCCACCATGTCCAGCCAAGAGAATTTCCTCTATAGAATTTAATTTTCTGATCCCGAGTCCAAATCAGGATCATGTCTTGCATGTAGTTGTCATGTCATTTTAGTTTCTTTTCATCTGGAATGGTTCCTTAAGTTTTCTTTGCCATTCATGATACTGATGTTTTGGAAGAGGATAGATAGACCAGTCGTTTTGCAGAATGTTCACCAGTTTGGGGTCTTCATATATTGTTTAAAGACCTTTTTTCACTCACCATTTATGGGTGCTTACTCATGCCATATGATCTGCTAGGTCCTAGTAGTCTAATTGCTAATGAAAGGCAGGATTTCAGCCTTGAATAGTTTAATATGATAAGGACAGTGAGAAGTACAGTAACATAAAAGTGCAAAGGAGGCAACAAAGCTGTCTGAGGGCAGTCTTTGGAAAAAAAGAGGGTAATATTTGGAAAACCCTGCTTTCCTATTTTCTGGCAACAGACTCCTGAAATAATGTTCTTGTGATTCTTATCAACACATTTATTACACTAGCCTACGGCTTTCATTTAATAACACTGTGAGCATGACTATTATTTTCTTATTTATATTTTATTGTTTACTGCTTAAATTGATTTTTTTCTTTTAAGGGCCTGAGCTGGAAGCTGATAGCTAGGAACTGGTTCAGCTGAAGACTAGTTGTGAGCATGGAGATGGTCCTACTGTGAAGGGGATGTGGCTGCCAAATCCAGAGCCTGGGAAACTACCAGAAAAAGGTAGACAATGTATTAAGCATGCAAATAGCAGGGTGTCTGTTTCTACAGTATTATAGTTTCAATAATGCACGGGTAATAATACTGCCTCTTCAATAATAGAGTTTTTGTGGGTTTTTTTTTTTTTTGAGACAGATTCTCACTCTGTCACTCAGCCTTGAGTGCAGATGCCTGATCTCGGAGGTCACTGCAAGTCCACCTTCCAGGCTTAAGCAATTCTTTAGTCTTAGCCTCCTGAGTAGGTGGTAGTAGAGCCACACGTCACCATGCCAGGCTAATTTTGAGTAGAGACGGGTTTCAGCATATTTGTCAGGCTGATCTCGAACTTCTGACCTCAGGTGACCCACCCATGTCGGCCTTCCAAAGTCTTGGGGTTAGAGGGGTGAGCCACCCCGCCTGGCCAATAATAGAGTTCTTATATAAAAGTTATTTGAAACATAGTTCAGGCCCCAGCAGCAGACTTATAGACTGTCATATAGAAGCAAACTGAGTCAAAGCCATATTTAAATATAATTTTTGAGAATACGTCCTTAAACCAATAGCTCATAATTTTGAGATGCTTTTGTAAAGGTTTGCTTTTAACAAGTACGTAACACATTTGTAACACACATCAGTTGGTGTGAAATATCTTGAAGCACGGAGGTAGGTTCTAATACCAGCTACTCAGGAGGAGTTTTATTTTTTTTTCTGAGTTTATATCATTGGGCAGACCCACCTGGTACAATGGTGAAAGTGGACATCCTTTTCTTATCCCTGAGGAGAAACTGACCCATTTCAACGTTTCACCATCATATTTACTGTACTTTTTAGATGGACTTTATCAGAGTAAGTCATTCCATTCTGCTCGAATTTGTTGAGAGTATTCATTGTGAATATATGTTGAGTTTCATCAAACAGTGAATCTGTGTTGACTACCACAGCAATTTTCCCATTAATCTGTTAATGTAGTTAATTAGATTGAAAAGTTTGTACTTTTTTATTTTTCATTTTTAAAAAATTGAGACAGGGTCTCACTCTGTCACCCAGGCTGGAGAAGCGATAATCCCATCTCAACGTCCTGAGTAGCTGTGACTATAATTACATGCCACCATGCCCAGCTAATTTCCCCCCAAACTTTTTTTTTTGGAGTAATGAGACTTTTTCATTTTTCTTAGGCTGGTCTCAAACTCCTGAGCTCAGCCTCTCAAAATACAAAGATTACAGGTGTGAGCCTTGGCCTGGCCAGGTTTTCCTTATGTAAGGGTCTTATCTATGTAAAGACTAAACTTATCAGTCCCTCTGTGCAGATGGGCTAACAGCATGATGAAATTTATCATTCTGTTGATTTTTTTTTTTTTTTTTTTGAGATGGAATCTCGCTCGGTCACCCAGGCTGGAGTGCAGTGGTGCGATCTTGGCTCATTGCACCTCCGCCTCCCAGATTTAAGCAATTCTTTGCCTTAGCCTCCAGAGTACCTCCAGAGTACATGCCACAATGCCTGGCTAATTTTTTGCATTTTTAGTAGAGACGGGGTTTCATCATCTTGGCCAGGCTGGTCTTGAACTCCTGACCTCATGATCCACCCACCTCAGCCTCCCAATGTACTGGGATTACAGGTGCATTCTGTTGATTTAAAGAAAACTATCCTTGACTTTCCAGTGTGTAAGCACGTGAAAGCATAATTATTTTGAAAGCATATATTGTTATGGGTGTTGGGACCCCTGCACTTTCCGATGCTGTGGGAGCATGTCCTTGTAGGTACCTTTAGTCTCTTTTCTCAGCTACAAACATCTTAGAACCATGTATTGTGACTGGTAAGGAGAGTGTCTTGATAGTTTCAAGATGGAGTTGATTTTCAAATGGTGTCGCTCTGGCTGTCCTTGGCTCCTGTTTCCCTAATACTGTCACTTGTCCTTCTATGATTCTGATGCTACAAATGATAGATGTTTTAGTATTTTCTTACAGGTCCTTGATGTTGTATTTATTTTTCTTTCAGTCTCTTTCTCTGACTTGTTCATAGTGAAGAGTTTCTTTTTGGGGTAGGTTGCTGTTTCTGTTTAAGCAGGTGGTCTATCAGTCTTTCCAGGCAGTCACCATGGTCCTTTTCCCAATGGTAGGACCGGGGCAAGAGAGGGCCCTGGAGGGAAGGGGGGTTTAGTTGAAGATGGAGTGTTTTGAGGGGAGCACTATTTGAGATATCTAAGTCCCAGAAGCATAGGAAACAGCAGAGGGAAGTTGGTTGGATTCCATTATCCTCAGTGGGGATAGCATCCGGGACTTGGGGTATGCGGGTGTGAATGGCAGCCCTCCCCTCGCCACCGCCCAGGCGCGCATGCTCCTTGGGCTCCTGCCTCAGTGCGCATGCTCACTGGGCATCTTCCTGTCAGCGGCTTCGTGAGTGTGGAGAACGCCAGGGAGCTGTGAGGGTGTGCGGTCGCGTTCCCTCTGCCTGGGCTCTTTTTTCTCTACTCAGACTCATCTGGTAGGTCCGCAGGCCAATCTTCCTGGGGGCTGAAGTGTGAGTGAGGCTGAGGAGGAAGCAGTGGGTGTCAGGTGTGTTTGGTGGGTCCCACTGCATGGTTTGTGGCCTCTGAGGGAGAACGGCCTCGTGGCTCTTGAAAGAGAAGAGCCTCTTGGCCTCCGAGGGAGAAGGGCCTCCTGACGTCCAAAAGAGTAGGTCCTCGAGGCCGTCCTCCTCCACCTCACAGGCTGTGAGGCCACCATTGCCTTTGTGGTCGTGAAGGGACCAGGAAAGTGAGGAAGGTGGGCTGCGGTGGGGAGGCAGTCAGGGATTCAGTTGAAGATGGGACGAGTGCTGGGGGTGATGTTGGAGGGATGAAAGTCCCGAGGTCCCAGGAACTCCAACACAGGGCAAATCCCTGAGTCCTGAATGGGGTCCTGGGTGGTGGGGAGGGGAGATGGGGGCGAGGCACACAGTAAAGAAGGGGCATGGCATTTGGGAAGGCTGCGGCCTGGTGAGCAGCCCCAGCGGCGTGGAGTGGGGGCGCCAGAGTGAAAAGCCATGCAAGGTCTCACCTCTACCATGGAAGGTCTGGAAACAATGGGAAGGACTGGGCAAGGCTGTGGGGTCCAAGCAAACTTGATTTGAGGGGCGTGAATGGCTCTAGTAAGTAGGAGTGTGCCAAAAGCAACAGTCACAAATTTGTGATTCACTGGTATTTTTATGTGGAGTCCACTTGTGAAACTAAACCTCATCTGAGGAGGGAGAATCCCTTGAGCAGGGAGGTTGAGGCTGTAGTGTGGTGTGATTTCGCCACTGTACTCCAGCCTGAGCAACAGAGCCAGACCGCGTGTTCAAAAGAAATTTAGAAAATAACGTCCTCTGCCTTTTGCCACACGCCTTAAGATGATTGTTCTGCCAGCATGGCCAGCATAAGTGGCTTTGCAGGCACTCAGAAAAGGTACACACGTATGCTTAACTGTGGGAATTATTGTGAGAGTATGTTCAAAAATACAACAAATTAAAATTTAGCCATGGAGGTGATCGAATATAGCTGTCCTCTCAAGTGCATGCTCGCAATCATGGTTTTCTGTTTTCAGTGTGAAATATGAGTTGGCGAGGAAGATCAACCTATCGGCCTAGACCAAGACGCTATGTGGAACCTCCTGAGGCGATTGGGCCTATGCTGGTGAGTGCTTTAATGTTAGTTTGATGTTTTCTATTAGCAGAAATTAATAGTTGTGCTAGTGTTGTTGCATTAGTATATAGACACTGATAAAATTATTTCATGCTGATAAAAATAATTATGGCATCTAATGAAGGAAACATTGACTCAGGAGGATTTTGTTTTTCTCTTCTGTTCTTCAGCTTTTGCCCATGACTCCTTTCTCATGTTGCCCAGGCTGGAGTGTAATGGGGCAATCTCGGCTCACTGCAACCTCCGTCTCCCAGGTTCAAGTGATTCTCCTGCCTCAGCCTCCCAAGTACTGGGATTACAGGCACCTGCCACCATACTCGACTTTTTTTTTGTATTTTTAGTAGAGATGTGGTTTCATTTTGTTGGTCAGGCTAGTCCTGACCTCAGGTGATCCACCTGCCTCGGCCTCCCTAAGTGCTGGGATTACAGGTGTGAGCCACTGTGCCCGGCCACTTTGCTTGTTAATGACAGATTGTACACAGCGATTCCAACACAGAATATAATACCTTCCAAAGTCTTTGTGGGTCACTTTTCTCACACAACCTTCCTGTGTATAGAGTAACCTTATTGAGCATAGACAATAGAGTTGGAGAAATGTCTTTAGGCTTAGTTATGATCAGAAATATCTATGTATTCTGTGTATATTTGTATAATCATATATTAATAACAAAACTTTTTTTATTTGCACACACACATACACACACACACTTCCTAGCCCGAGCAGTTCAGTGATGAAGAATTGGAACCACCAAAACCTGAAGAAGGGGAACCAGCAACTGAAAGTCAGGTTTCTGTACCTGCTCAGGAGGGAGAGGATGAGGGAGCATCTGCAGGTCAAGGTGAAGGGAAAGGGAAGAAGAATGACTCTTGGGATGTGTGTGTGTGTATGTGTGTCATGCATTGTCACATAGCAGGAACAGGGGGAAATAAAACAATGGAGGGCATACCTGAAATGGACTGGAAAAGTGAGGAGGGCGTATAGTTTTTGCAGCTTAGCTTAGCTTAGCTTTTATCACTATGATAAAGCGTGTCCACTTTATGAATAAGAGAATAGAGGCTTGGAGGTTGTGTTATAACCAAGAACAGTTGAGTGGTGAATACAAAATTTGTATTTTGTTTTTTACTGTAAAGTAGCTTAATACTGGCCCAAGAAGAGACCCAGTTCAGAAGAGCAGAAGCAACTCTAAAAACCAAGTTGCTGAATGTTAGCCACCATTTCCATTGATTGTTATTTTTATATGGTAAGTTTATTAAAAGCTGGATAAATCAGGATACTGCCATACAGGTAGCTGGTTTAGTATGATTTTCCAAGTGGGTTTAGGATGTGATTTGATCCTGTTATGATTAGAAAAACCAAAAAAAGAATTACCCTTCCTGAGATTAACATGAGATAGAAATAATTTCTCCTAGATAAACTAGTTTGAAACAAATCATTTATGTAACTCAGGTCATGGATTATTCTAGGGATTCACTGTTAACAGTTTCTAGAATATCACTGACAACAATGCCCATTAATTGCTGTCCACCCATTCCCTTATTCTCCGTGCAGGACAGCATATTTGCTGTGATTCACAAACCATGTTATTTTGGTACTTTGTTCTACATGTGGTTCATTTATGGAATATTACATTTAGGGCCTTTGGACCTAAATATAACTTTATTTGAAGAAATTTACATTTCTCTTTACACCATATAAACTTACCATATAAAAATAGGTAATGGATGTCATGAATGGAAGATTTTTCGTAGTCCTCAAATCCATTCAGCTAATGAATCCTCAGAAATTTAAATTGTAATTATAACTGAATTCCTATCCATGTTGTAGACTTCAGATTTCTTAGCTGATGCCCACTGCTTTTAGTACTCTGTGGCTGAATATAGGCATTGTACAAGTCCTGTGGTTTATCCTTAGATTGTCATTTGAGAGAAAGGTCTCAACCTGGGCTGAATGCCATGCACACATAGTCCCAGCTAATTGGGAGGCTGAGGTGAGAGGACTGCTTGAGCCCAGGAGTTCAAGCCCAGCCTGGGAAACATAGCGAGACCTCATTGCTAACAAATAAAGAAATACATAAAGATTTCATGTTATAGAAAAACAAATATAGAAAGTTTGTTCCTAGTTGCTGATAATGTTGCAAGTATAGCTCCTTCCTGAACTGTGACACTTAAAAATAGTTAAGATGGTAAATTTTATGTTGTGTATTTTTTTTACCACAACAACAAACAAAAAAACTCCTGTCTACCCAAATTTAGTGTAGTTGTCATATAGTCCTCTAAATTTTCATTCGTATATTTTCAAGACATAACATTTGTAGAAAATTTGCAGTTATAGTACAATTAACTCATATACTTTTCACCTAGATTCACCAATTGTTAATAGCTTTTGCTCCATTGGTTTGATATATCTACCCTCCCTGTCTTGCCCTGCTGCCCACACACTCGCACACATGCTCATGGATATTATGTTTATTGTTATTAATGGTGAATTGTTTAGATAAAGCTTCAGGTATTATGATCCTTTACTCTGTGTACTGGAGTGTGTGTATATCATCAGAAGAAAGAACAAGTTATTCCTTGGATCAGCACTGCACAAAGATCAAAATCAGGAAATTTAACAATGTGAAAATGCAGTCATTTCATAACACAGTGTGTACTCAAATTTTCCCAATTATTCAGACAATGTTTTTTCTTTCCTTCTTTTTCTTTCTTTCCCTCTTTCTTTCCTTCTTTCTTTCTTTCTTTCCTTTCTTTCTTTCTTTCTTTCTTTCTTTCTTTCTTTTTCTTTCTTTCTTTCTTTCTTTCTTTCTTTCTTTCTTTCTTTCTTTCTTTCTTTCTTTCTCTTTCTTTCTTTCTTTCTCTCTCTTTCTTTCTTTTTCTTTCTTTCTTTCTTT